CTTGAAATTCTAATCAATAATTTAGAGGACGTGTTCCTAATACAAATGATCCTGTTGCTATTTTGTATATCATCTGTTTTGTATATCATTAAGGAGTAACAATGGTTTCGGACGATGCATTATTCATTTGAATAATGACCACTTAAAAACGATACCTGAATAATAAGTAAATGGACGACTTAATAGTTCAAGTACCATCGACCTGTTTACTTTTGCGATCCACCGGAAGTGCTGGTTTCTTGGAAGTACGTCGAAAGAAATCGAGACACCCTCCCCAGAGAGTATTGTTTTCAGCCGTCGAAGCATTTGATAAACCGTCGAAGCATTTGATAAACCGTCGAGTTTTAAGGCGGCTAGAGAGGAAAACGACAAGTATGACAGGAATATCGACGAAGGAGTCCCTCAATGGAGGATAAGGATTCCAGTAAGAAAAGAAAATAAAGTGACGCGGAAAGTGGATGGGGGTGGAAACTCGGAAAAGCTCTAAGAAACGTCGACACAACGAATCGAACGACGATGCCAGCGAGTTCGTTGGTTCCTTTCTTTTTTATTCTCCCTTTAGTACGACTTGGAAAGTTGCTCCCAGATATCTCAGATGTTCTGGAAGTTTCTCATTCATCGAGCGAGACACGCGGACAACGTACGCCGTCGCAAGAAACGTCGAAGGAATTTCGTTTGTCAAAAGAATCTTAAAATTTATATATTTTTTATCATATTTTCGTGCTAGTATTAACAACGGATCGTTGAGGTTCTCCCGATGAAAAAGAGTTCAAACACGATCTCATTTGGATTACTTTTGCTTGCACGATATTGCAGTTATTTTGAAATCATTGTCAATTAAATGCAGTTGAAAGTAACCCGAATATAGTCGTGTTTGGGCTCATTCGAATCAGGAAAACCTCGCCAACCCATGAATAATACTTTCGTAAACGTATAATAAGAAATAGAAAAAATTTTGTAAAATAATCGGAGACACCAGAATCGAATGACAACGCTAACGAGTCGTTTGTTTTCTCTTGCTTTTGTTCCGTGTCTGGTACGACGAGTGCGACTTGGTAAGTTGGTCAGAGATATCTCAGGTGTTCTCTAAGCCTCTCATTCATCGGGTGGGTGGCGCAGACTGCTCGCATACGAGACATAACCGAACTGTCGACAGCGTACAGCGTCCCACCGATGCGCCGAAGCAACAGAGAAAAAGGGGAGGACACGGTGAATGGGGCTGTTAGGGAAAAGGGGGTCAAACGTGTACGGTGCAACATGCAGTGGTACATCGGTGCAACGCACGCCGTATATTAAAGCTGGGAATAAAGGGGGAGAAAATGAACGAGCGAAATGTACGCGAAGCGAGTGAAATTGGAATAGGGGGATTGTTAGACTTTTCATTGAAATCTATTACAAAAATGAATCTCGTGAGAAATGAACGCTGTTTCTATGAGTTTACGTTTCGAACGGTTCAGTCTGTTTCTATTAAGAAAGAAAAAATATATATATATATACGTTGAATCGAGTATATCTGTCACGTATCTGTCACATGAATAAACTGTAAATATTAAAAAATTTCGTTTTGTCATTCTCTATAAGGTGATATTTTTTATAGATTCGATTGTTCGACTGTTGTTTCTTTTTCTTTAAGACAATAGCAACAGGATCAGACCACTACGAAATCTCAGGAGAAAGGTCCTCTAAGTTTTAAATTTTTATCTATGAAACTAAACGTGTCGGATGAATAAACTGTAAATATAAAAAAAAAAATCATCTTGTCATTCTCTACAAGAAGATATTTTTCAATAATTCATTTGACGAATTAAAAATTTCGTCCACTTGCGTTGGGCTCCGGATTTCATTTCGTTGTTAGCTTCTGATGTACACCTACGCTCATAAATATGTACGTGGACATTTTCTCAATTGAAATAAATATACAAAGATGCATAAAGAAAATTACGAATCTGTCAATGTCGCTAATGAATATCACTCACGTATTCGTATATACGTTTTGTTGCATCATGTAATATATTTCTCCAATTGTTTATTTAATAGCAAAAATTGTATTTCAACATTGAAAATCAATTTAATTTTCTTTCCATTAATCCGCTACGTGTTTCTAAAATTTCTTTCACCAATCTTGACACTCTAGCTATAATTTTCTTTCATTGTATCCGAAGTAATATTATTTATTTTATTTTTTAATATCTCGTAAATGTCTTTTTCACATGTTTGCACTATCGGAATTCTATTGTACTTTCTAAACGAAACCAAAATTCTATCATAAAGATTTTGAAGTCATCGGTTGTGGAGCTCACATTCCTGTGGAATTCGATGTACAGGGAAAAACGATCAGCCCGTTCGCCACGGTTTCTCGAATCCAAACCTCGATAATTGTTGAACAGTCGATGGGTTCCGAACGACCGACGATGGGATACCCCATGGATCACCCGGCACGTAATAATTATTCAAGAAGGATTACGTGCACTCGCGTAATTATTCAATAACCGCGTGCGCTCTCTGTGAAACGTACATCGACGACGCACAATCGCGAACGTGAGTTGGAGCGCAAACAAATTTCATACATACATACGTGTGCGTCAGCTGTTCCAGCCGCGCAGCTGCCACATACTGGGTGGTGTGTTTTAAATGCTCCCAAAATCGAATTACCATAGGAATCGAATTAAAGACCGCCAATCGATCTGGCTCGACACTTGAAAGTTTATTTAGTCAATTTCTTGCGGAATGGTGGAGTTGTTTGATTAGGCCAGAAATTGACCAAGTTTTTGCAAATATTAGTTTAGCTATCTCTATTTAAATTTTCATCTTTATTACATCAATCTGCTTACTGTCCGAAGAAGTTGATATCAATTAAAAGCTATGTAGCGTATACTTATCGAAAAAGATCTTTTAAAATTTACATTAAAATGATATAAACTGTAACATGAAATGATGTATTCTTCGAATGTGTTACTCGTATTACTTACTTCAACCACGAATCACACATAATATATACTGGTGTTCAAATACTTTTACGAGGGACTGTACAGATGTAATTCGCATTGTTTCACCTCGTTACCGTTTGTTTCGTGCGGATGGATTCACCCGCAACTCTGATTTAGGCTTAATTAATTTTCGCCGATGTTTATCACGCAATTCGATGTCAACTAACGTTCAATGAAACCTAATTGGCACACCCACCGAACTGGCACGAAGTCATGTTAATCGTCGAGTGATAATGAACAAGCGACCGACGGATTACTTTAATTAAGGATGATGAAGTGCGCGAATAACTAGTCAAAAGCCTAACGTTCGTTCCGAGCATGATCAAAGTCAAAGCGATGCGCGCTTTCGTTGATATCGAGAGAATCGTTAATACTGTTTAATGAACCGCAATGTTCGGCTTTTTTTCTTGACGATTTTTCAGTTAACAAAATACAAACAGGATCTTTGACGTTCGTGCGGAAGGAATTATTTCAAATTAATTCAGTCTGCATCGTTATGCAAATTAAACGTCGGTGCTTAATAAACTTCGATCTTCCCATGGATCTTTTCTATAAAAAAATATGTTAGTGGACCACCACGGAATAAAATTAAATTATTGCAATTGTTTGTAACTTTTAAAACTATTCCCGTAAAAGACGCGCGTATGCGCTTCGGAAGTTTTAATTCAATTTACGTTGCTTTATAATTTATAAAGAGTTGTGTTTAGTAGAAACAGGGTATCTATATCGGAGATAAATTAATCTTAAGATACAATAAACTATAATTTTCTGGTATAGTGTAGGAGAATGCAATTATTAATTAGCAAATTTTTCTTATGATATAAATATAATTTTTTACAGTCCCAAATAATTATTTGTCGTATAATATATGTTGAGAGTTATTATTTTCTGTGATATAATAATAGCATTCTTAAATATGTTTGCAAAAAATTTAATAGACCAATTGTATTGCCAATGAATTTGTTTTTATCGAATTTCTGTTTGGACACAATATACAATACTAGAGGGTTGTGAAATACAAATTTAAAATAGTAAAAATAGAAGTTTGAGAACGTGTTTAAAAAACTCTAAATTGTTTTGGGTAACTGTAATGAAATTGTTTCGATCGAATTCCTGTTTGGGTATATTGTGGATTAAATTGTTGCGGAGGTCAAGAATTCTTAAATACGTAAAAATATTTACGGCTTATACGTGGCGTTATAAAGTTCTATTGAGATTTCTATGTTTGATACACTCGATATTAATTTATAACACGAACATAGAATAGATATTGAGAGGTTCTCTGACATTACTGATTTGATCAAAACTGTTCATGTTATGTAAATGGGAAACAGAGCTTCGATTTAACTATGCATGTACATCAATTATCCCATGATTCAATTAATCCCATAAATAGGACCGTGATAGTATCGTCGCACGCTAAACGTTCGCAAATAAATCAGAATTGTCAAATGTCATTCTCTCTTTAAATTCTCCATAATTATCCATGATTTAAATCAGCTAGAATTTTTTGTCTAAATTGTACGCGAGCTCAATGAAATTGAGAATCCACTTTTGAACTGAGTTATAACCCATGGCCCTCGACCAAGGTTCCATACAATAAATAGTCGATATATATACATTGGAGAAGTCTATAAGAATACTCAGCTTAAAAACAATGTTAATCTGAGATTTAAAAGCGTTTACAAAAAAAAAATGTTAAAATAACAATAAAATGGTAAAGATCACATAATCACCTTACCAATAACACTGTTTTTCAGCTGTACTTTCACATAAGCAGTAAGTATGTAATCCAGCTGTAACCTGGACGTAACCGTCTGCATTACAAAGCATTAAAGAAACTTGAATCAATTACAATGAATCTATTTAATGTAGCTACCACATTCGCAACGCTGTCCACATATTTGACTCAGTCGTATCTCAGTCGAGAGTTGCAATTTCTATGACCACTGCGGCACAATACATTCGAGGAGATTGTACCATTATCAGTCAGAGCCACTAGCCAACCTCTCTAGCACTGCTCGTTAGTCTGACATACAAGAAGCCAAGTTTACGAGACGCGAACCGTTTGGTAGCGAAACTATGCAGCGGCCTTAAGCAACTCGCCAGCGTGCATACTATGTAGAGCCGCGGTTCGTTTCAACGACGAACAGCAACGACGAAATATCGATTTAGGTAAGTTCGCTGACCTTGTGATGAGAGGAATGGCCCGTGTGATTGGCTGAGGTGTGATTTCCGGCGGGAAGAGATGCCAGGTCCTCGATGGTTAACTCTGCTAAGGCGTCGTTGCCACCGCTGCAACCGCCTAGCAAGCCACCTGCAATGACGCCGCCGCTTCCTGGACTGCCCCCGATGCAACCTCCATCCGACCTTACAACGTTCGCGGAGGGTCTCTTCTGCACCCTCCTCGAGGTCACCAGTTCCTTCACCCCGGACAACTCTCGCCTCGAACCGCCCACGTATCTGAAAAACAGCACGTTTCAGCCTTGTTATTTGTTTACCTTCGAACCCAGCGAACTGTGCAAAATATTGGATGAAAGAGTATCGAGCAGCTTTACACTCGGATTACTGCATTATCCTTTGCGGATTAATGATGCTGCTTTAAGGGACTAAAACACCGTGTTAGGAAATTGGGTCTAGTAAACAAGTCCTCGGATTGTAATTCTTTTTATATTACTTTCATTGACAATAAACCTACCGACGTTCGTTTGTAACTATTTCTGTCGCGATGCTTCTTAACTCTTTGACGAGTAAGCATTTTTGGAAAATACACACGGTTTACGAGTAAGCTTTGTTCCGTAACATAAACAATACTTTATTTCATATGTATGTAAAGAAAATATCACCTTACAGAGAATGACGAAACGAAACTTTTTTTTACAGTTACAGATCATTCATACGACGTTTAGTTACAGAGATAAGAATTAAAAACTTAAAAGACCGTTTTCCTGAAATCTCGTAGTGGTCTGATTCTGTTGTCTTAAAGAAAAAAGAAAACAACAGTCGAACAATCGAAATTAAAAAAAAAAAAAAAATATCACCTTACAAAGAATGACAAAACGAAACTTTTTTATAACTACAGTTTATTCATACAACATTTAATTACAGAGATAAACATTTTAAACATAGAAGATCTTTTTCCTAAGATACAATTTTTGCAACGAACTTTTGAATTTTTATTTTTGAAACTAAGCATCCTATGAATAAACTCTAAATATACAAAAGTTTTGTTTCATTATCCCCTATAAGCTGATATTTTTGAAAAATTGATTTAACGAACATAAACAAAATTTCTCGGAACCCATTTCTCGAAGATATATATGTGTATATATATATATATACATATATATTGAAAAATTGATTTAACGAACATAAACAAAATTTCTCGGAACCCATTTCTCGAAGATATATATGTGTATATATATATACATATATATCCTCGAGAAATGGGTTCCGAGAAATTTTGTTTATGTTCGTTAAATCAAT